GTGTGTATGAAATTATTATGAATAAATCTCGATCTTAAAATTAGTTTTTTTATTTTGTAGGGGGGAGGGTGTTGTATTTTTTATTATGATATTGTTTAAAAAAATAAAGACAAAACTGAAATTCTGATTTGATTTTTTAAAAATAATCTTGTAAAAAGAAATATTTAAAAATATATTCAAAATTTAAAAACAACCAATAGTGATTATAATAATTATAAAGTAAAATAAAAAAATATAGAAAAATTATACAAATTTAAAAATTGTAAAAAAAAAAAATATTTATACAGCAATGATATGGTGGTGTGATATAATATGATATAATAAAAATAAATAACACATACGTCAAGATAATAGGCATGTTCCCAAACATCAATACCTAATAATGGAGTAAAACCAGAGACTGAGAGTGGATCTTGATTTTGTTGGGTTTGAATGACTAAACGATCTTCAGCTTTATCATAACCTAACCAACCCCAACCTGAACCTTGAATAGCAACGGTTTGATCAGTCATTTTTTTAATTAAATTATCAATTGAACCAAATTGTTTATTGATAGCATTGATTAATGGACCACTTGGAGCAACACCACCATCTTGGTTTTTTGGTGCTAAATTGGTCCAAAAGATTGAATGGTTAACATGACCACCACCATTGAATTTAATAGCACTTTGGAGAGCAATCATTTGGGCAACATCTTTAGCAGCCTAAAAATAATAAACAAATAATCATAAATATTTATTTACTTTCTCTTATAATTAAATTTAATTTAACTATACATACTTCAGCTTTAGCATATTTATCTAAAGCAATGTTAAGATTATTAACATAGGTTTGATGATGTTTTTTGTGATGAAGGGTCATAATTTCTGGTGAAATTACTGGTGCGAGAGCACCATAGTCATATGAGAGATCTGGAAGAGTGTATGAGTTGGTAGCATTGGTGAAAGCTCTAATTGATTGGAGCTTTTGAACTGACTTAATTGAACGTCCTAACATTTTTAATTAAATGAATAAAATAAATTAATTAATTAATTAATAATTATGAATGAAATAAAAAAAAAATTTTGAGTCAAAATAAAAAAAAATTAATGTTCAAAAAATTTTAATTATTTTTATTTTTTTTATTTTTTTTTTTTTAATTTTAATTTTTTTTTTATATTTTTTTTATATTTTTTTTTTATTATTTTAAAATTTAAATAAATTAAAATTTCTTTCACATTATCATAATTAAAAATTATTTCTATATATATAGAGAAAAGCATCTTGTTATATAAATAAAGAAATAAACTATATACAAAACTACAGCTGTTACAAACCAACTAAATAAAATAATAAAAATTAATAAAATATTAATAATTATAATATAATTTATCCAAAATGAATTTCGACTACAATAGAATGATGAATATGGGCGGTGGCGGTATGACAGGCAGATTTAATCAAAAATTTAAAGCTTATCCAATTTCTTTCTTACCAAAAGAAAAGCATTCATTAGAATCAGGTGGTAAAAGTAGGTAATCATAATTTAAATCATATATAATTTTGTAATGGATATTAATAAATTGCTATCCCATCTTATTTATTTATTTATTTATAGTTTTATTACCACCAAGCTCATTAAATACATTAAGTAGATTAAATATTCAATACCCAATGTTATTTGAAATTTCAAATCCAATTACAGGCAGAACCTCACATTGTGGTGTTCTCGAATTTACTGCTGAAGAGGGTGTTTGTTATCTCCCATATTGGATGATGCAAAATCTTGGTTTAAATGAAACTGATTTTATAGATATTAAAAGTGCAACATTACCAAAAGGTAAATATTAACAAATTATATTATAAATCTATAGTAGATATAGCAAGAACTAATAATAATAATAATAATAATATTTTTAGGTACTTTTGTTAAAATTCAACCAAGAACTTCAAACTTTTTAGATATTTCAAATCCAAAAGCTGTTCTTGAAAACTCACTTAGAAAATTTGCAACTTTAACCAAAGATGAGGAAATTATGATCGATTATAATAACAATAAATATTACTTAAAAGTAGTTGAAATTAAACCAGCCAATGCAATTTCTATTATCGAAGCTGATGTTTCTGTTGATTTTGCGCCACCAATGGATGCAAAAGAATCACAAAATCCAACCCCATCTTCAAGCCAACCAGCTTCAAAAGGTCTTACATTTGGATCAGGTTCTAGCGCACCAAAATTAATTCCAGGTAAAAAAAAGAAAGATGATAGTGATTCTGACTCTGATTCAGATTCAGAGGAACCTAAATTTAAAGCTTTTGGTGGTTCAGGTGCCAGATTAGATGGTAAAATCAGTTCAAGTCCAAAAACCTCCTCACCAACCTCAACCACTCCAACTAACACCTCATATATGAATAAAGCAGCACCAAATAACAATAATAATAATAATAGCACTAATAGTGATAATAGTGATAGATTTAAGAGTTTCAGTGGTAAAGGATATAGTTTAAAAGACTAAATATCATATAATCAAAAAAAATATTAAAATGTAAAAATAAATGATGGAGATCCTTAATCTTTTTTTTTTTAATCATAAACATCATATATAAATAAAGCCCTTATGATAAAAATATTAATTTACAGATTTATCCTTTTAAGTTATTTATTCCTTTTTAGTTTTTTTTTAAATAAAAAAAATAAATAAAAAAAAATAAAAAATAAAAATTTTAAAAAATTTCATTTTTTTAAATATTACCGTGTTATCTTTATGCAATAATAATTTTATTAAATAATACAATAATAATATAATAATAAATATAATAATAACAATAATATAATAAAAAATAATACAAAACTTATAAGTTGACTATAAAAATAAATTAATTAAAATTGGGATTAGTAAAAATAATTAATCACCGTATAACCATTAATATCACTTTGTATAAATATATATTATATTATAGTATTATTAAATAAATAATGGGGGTACAGGGATTTTCAAATTATATTAAAAAAAAATCACCAAGGGTTGGTGTACCTATAGATTTAATAGATGAAGCAAATAAAAAAAGTAAAAAAAGAAATATCCCTATTCAAATCCATAACCAAGTAAGGGTTTAAATTAAATATTAATACTATTAGTAATTTAGAAATTATTATAGGCATCGATGGTTTATCATATATATTTCATGTAGCAAATCAATTATCAAGATGTAATTCATTAAAATTATTTGGGGACTCTGTAAGAGAATTCTTTCAACTATTAAAAAATAATAGAATAGAGCCTATTGTATTCATTGACGGTTATGAACCTCTATACAAACAAAAAGAACATGATAAAAGATTTAGACAGCGTGCAGAGCAATATACACATAGCGCTACAGAATCATATTTAGATACATCCTCAAAAACAATGACCCATTATCAATTCCCATCACCACTATTTTCAAAAGAGTTTACATCCATCCTCAAAGAAATGAATATTCCAGTTTATGTATCAAGATTTGAAGCAGATCGTGGTATTGCTCAATGGGCTGCCGATAATAGGGAAATTTATGGTATTATTTCAAATGATTCAGATTTCTTTTTTTATCAAGGTTTAGATTGTTTTTTCTTTCCATTGGATCAAATATCTATCAATCCCTCAATTGGCTCAATTGTAGTAGTTGGATATACTGTTAGAAGAGTAGCAAATTCTTTAGGAATAAATGTAGATGTAAATATAGTAATAAATATAAAATAATAAATAGATAATAATAGAACTAATAAATTTACATTTGTTTTAGAAATTACCATTATTAGCATCATTAATTGGCAATGATCAAACCAAACATATACCGGGAAATAAAAATTTTAGACCCAAAGGTAATCAAGATAGAGTTCAAGCAGTCATTAATTTAATAAGGAATCAAAATTGCTCAAATTCAGTATTAACAAAAGAGGTGTTTTTTATTTCAGCAAAAAATCAACAGGTTTTTATTGAGTCAATGAGAGGATATAATTTAGAGACAAATATTAATCGAGTTCCGAATGACTCAATAGTAATGGAAGAATCAACTGGAACAGTATTTAGACGAAATTCAGATATTCAAATTAAATTTCCAATAGAAAATGAATATCAATTAGAGGATGTTTTATTCTCAATTAGTGGCCATACATCTAGAATCTATTGCTTCTCAAAATTACTTTATAAAGAATACCATACCCACAGAAATTGCTTCGAGCCATCTATACACTATGAAGAGAGTATCCTTACTTATATGAGGGAAATTTCCGCTTTCTTTTATGGTCTTTTAGATGATGTCCAGAATAGAGAAGGATCAAAAATCGAAGAGCTTCAACCAAATTTAAACGATATTATATCAATAGAATATACTCCAAAATATTTAGCATACTCCCACAAAGAATGTTACAAAGATATGGTTCCATTTAATAGAAGAATATATGACTTTTGTTCAATATTTAAATCTTTACCACTATACAGTTATTTAATTAATAATGATAGAAAAGACATTGATATTACAAATTTTAATTTTTATCAATTTTATTTTATAACGTATGTTTTATTATAAAAAAATAAATAAAAAAATAAAAAACTAACATTTCCTTTCTTTCAATATAGATGCTGGAGATATATGTTATCATTTGGACAGTTTTTATTCAAAATAGAAGAGTGGATGGTAGATTCTTTTGCTTTACATGTACTTTTATTACGTCATAGGGTATCAATTCAATTTTCTTTAGAAAACGATTCATTCCAAACATTATATTTAGGTGAATTTTATCAATTGTTATTAAGATGGTGTTTTGATATGTCCGATGCTATGGCTTTACCTAAAACCACTGGACTCCATAGAATAGGAACAAGTCAAGAATTATTTTATCCAGGTCTTTTGTTTGAAACTACCTTTATCCATCCAATCTGGAGAATGGCCAAAAATAATTTTGTTAAAGCTTTAAAAACCACTTCACAAAAAGAAAGATTAGAAATATTATTTAATCCAATAATATCATTACTTACACCAGAAATTATAGAAGAGTTTAAAATTATTAAAGAATTAATTTATAAAAAAAATTAAATTAGGAAAATAAAAAAAAAGAAAATTAAACATCAAATTAAATATTATTTATTATATATATTTTAAAAACCAATTTTTCATTTTTTAATAATGATTTAGTAATGATGTATTACTACTGTTTTCTGCTAATTCATTATAATGTATGTAACCATTGTTTCTCTTTACAACAATATCATCATCTTCAAAAACCTTATATTTTTTTGGGGTAGTAGGTAAGCTAAAAAATTCTTTAATTGATTCTGTAATTTTTTAAAAAAAAAAAGTATTAGAGATGAAATTTTTTATTTTTTTATTATTTTCAATATTACTTAAAAACATTAGTATCTCTTTATAGGATGTTAAATACGAATAAATAAATAAATAATACAAATTTATTTTTTGAAATTATATATTTACTTGTCCTAAAATATTTTATTTAAGTGTTATAAAAAATTAGAAAAAAAAAAAAAAAAAAAAGTGGTGTTAAAACTACAATTTTTATATCATACCAATAAGATCTATATTATAAAAATTAAGACATATTAATAATTATTTAAAATATTAATTAAAATTTTATACTTTTATTGGGAAATATAATATTAAAAGATATTTTTTTTTAAATATATAAATAAAAATAGTATTTTTTTATTTTTAAAATATAATAATAAATATTATACCCTATATAAAAAGCTTTAATGATATTTCTTTATTTTGGTATCATTGCTACCATAACTCTTCACTTTCAGTATCGTTAAATGGTATATAAAAAGGTAGGAAAAGGTCATCTGGTTGTATTGGTAATTCTGAACATTTTGATAGTTTTTGTTTGGTTTGTTCTACTGCTAATACTTCTTTATTGCTAATTCCATATTTAAATACAAATTGTGATCCATCACTTTCAGTATTAGGTCTTTCTTGATTTACATCTAATAGGTCGAATGGGGAGCAGTTTAAAAAGTCAAATTCATATGGCTCTGTACAATTGTCAAAGTTACTTAATAATATATAGTAATGATTTGGTTTTTTAAATTGATTAATTGAAATATATTCCCCTGGCTTTTTACTATTTTCTATACATTTATTTACTTCTATTTCTTGTAGTTTATTTCCATTGTTTTCATTATTTGAACCTATATAAAATGTATCATATATAAAGTATGCATCTTGATAATTGTGGCATTTGAACTCTTCTTCACTTATTGAATTTTCATTATATAAGCTTGCAGAAGATAGGTTATCCCCTGAACTTGAAACTAGTTTTGATAATGATAATATACAAAATACAGAATATATAAAATATAATTTCATTTTTTTATAAATAGAATTATAAAACAAAAAATAAAAATAAAACCTTTTATTTTTTTGGTAAAAATTATTTTTTAAAAAATGAATTTAGAAAAATTAGAAAATTTTAAATGGGGGTTAATGGGAAATTGGGTGTTTTGTTTATAGTTTATGGGGTTCAACACCAAATAAATTAATAATTATAAAAATAAAAAATGAAACAATAGTGGTTTTTTTAAATTGGTTTTTTTTTTGATAATGTGAAAATAGTTTGTTACATTATTAATTTTACTGATTTTATTTAAATTTTATAAAGCTAATGTGGCAATTAAAGATCCTAAAACTAAAGATAAACTGGCGATAGTGGCTGAAGCTGAGTTACCGCTATCATGAGTATTGGTTTCTTCGGTGGCACTGGCATTTTCTTCATCAGTTGAACCTGATTTTGGTGACTTTGGTTTAGTTTTGGTGGATTCAGATGATTCTTCTACAGAGAAATCGGCAATTTCATTGCTATCGTGTTTTGGTTTATTGTTACCTCCTTTTGATTTTGATTTTGGAACTTCATCAATAGCGTTTTCATCATCTTCAATGGCTGCTTTTGGATTGGTACCACATTTAATTGAATAACCATTACCCCTAAGTTCAACTGGTTTAATTGATGGGTTTGGACAAAGAAAATCTGAATCTACAGCAGCGGTTCCAGTACAATCTTCTGTAGTGTATTGAGAAAAGATATATTGGTTTGATCTCTTTGCTTTGACAACTTTAATGGAGCCACCACAACCAGCAACACATTTACCAATGTCGGCTTGAGTTGCATCAGCAGTAGTTCCGTTGGCATAAACAAAGCATAATTTATTGTCACTATTTCTAATGGTAAAATGATCAAAAGTGTGAACAATTGAACCATGAGCTGATGCAGCTAAAAATGCTAAAACTAAAACAATTAATAATCTCATTCTACTTGTATAATTTTATATATGAAGTTGTTGGGTTTTTGTGATTTATTAAAAAAATAATTATTGTTATTGTTTACTATAAAATTATTTTTATACAATTTAATATTTTGTAAAATTTAAAATTTATATTTGTAATTAAATTTACAAAATTTAATTTTTATAAAAAAAAAATAAAAATATAATTTTAAATTAATTAAAAAAGTTAATAATATATTTACCTCGTTTATAATAGTTAATAATAATATCATGACACATAGAACTGAATATAAAGAAAAATTAAAAAAAATTATTAAACAATCCAGAGGATTGAATTCTTTATCTAGAAAAAAAAAAAAAAAAAAAAAAAGGAGAATTATTTTATTAGGGGGTGTGTTGTTATATAAAAATTTAAAATAGAAAAATTAATTAATTTTTTTACGATGGGTAAAAATGTGTGTGTTTTTTTTCTTGTGTGTTGTTTATCTGTAATGAATGATTTTTATATTCAAAAATCGCTCATATAAAATTAGTGTGGGAATATAAAGTATAAAAATTAAACTTTAATATCAAATTACATCATAGCACCACTTTTTTTTTTTTAAAATAATAAATAAATTATATTATAATCAATCATTTTTTTTATTAAAAACTAATGAAAATTAAAAAATCTAAAATATATTTAATAATAAACAACAATTCTCGATTTGTTTTTTTTTTTATATAAATATTTATAAATAAAAAAAATAAATAAAAAAATATATTTATAAAAATAGTAAAAAAAATACTCTTTCTTTTTTAAAATTTAAAAAACATAGTGGATTACTACCCAATAATTATAATTTGGATCATTATTTTTATATACAAAAGTTATAAAAAAAAAATTGGATAAAAATGATTTTTTAATTTCATATTTTTCACAAAACACAATAATGTGTTCATTTAATTATATGATATTATGAAATAATGCTATTTAATGAACCTATATTACAGAATAATAGAATACTGAAATCATAGAAAAAATGTTAATCTAATTAAAATAATTTAAAACTCTTAATATCTTATAATACTTGAATTAAATATATAACTTGTACGAATAATTATTGTGTAATTAATTTTTTTTGTTAGTTTGTAATATAAATAGTAATTCTAATTTTACATGTGTGGTTATTTTATTTTCTTTTTGAAAATAATAATTTTAAATTAAAATATTTAATTGCAATTGAAAAAAAAAAAAAAAAAAAAATAAAACATTATTATCATTATTTGTCCTTTCATTGTTATTTATTTCTTTGTTTTTTTAAAGAAAAAAAATAATAAAGATTTATTTATAGAAAAAAAATAATTTAAAAAAAAATATAAAAATAAAAATAATAATAAAAAAAAAAAAATGCATATATTAAAGTGTTTATTGGTATTTTGTATGATCTATATAACTGTTGCTAAAGCCAAATATTATGGTGCCGAATATCAAGAATTGAAGTGTCCAACCAACAGTAATCAACTTTGCCCAGTTTACAAAATCTACGAGCTTGGTTCCAACAACAATGCTTTTAAATTAGATTTTGCAAATTATCAAAATAGATTGGGTAAGAATTTCAACCCATATGAAATTATCGTAAGTGGTAGCTTTGTCGACGGTTATTTCCAAATGGACCAAGTATTTAGAATGATGGTACATCCAGGCAGAGCTTTTGAATACTCTAACAATGATAAATTCTATACAATTAAAAACGACACTATTATCCAATTAAATAGTGACATCAACAAAATAGGTATTGAATCAATGTTTAACACCTATAAAGATGATATCCCATTCTTCCATAATGAATGGTTAAATTTAAAACTCTCATCTGGAGATTCAGTATACACAACCATTAGTAACCACATTGATAATGGTGCTGGTCAAGTTCAAGTCGATTATGTTTGGGTCAGTATCCCAGATGTTCCAAAATGCTTGAAACAAAACGACGGTTGTCAATTCCCATTCATTCTTCAACCAACCTACGAAAGAGATGCTAATCGTTGTTTAATCTTCAAAGGTTGTGTTAGAATTCTTAAAAACCCATTTTGTATTTTAGAAACAGATATCAAAGGTTGTCCAGCAGGTTACAAAAAAGTTTCTTTCTCTAATAAAGATGGTTGTTCTAAAAACTATTGTGATCCATCATTTTTATAAAAAAAAAAATAATCAACTAAAAAAATTAAAAACTAAAAAAAAAATAATCAAAATATTTTAAACTAAAAAAAAAAAAAAATAAAAAAAAAAAAAAATATTAATAATAATTTAATTGATTATACATAATAAAAAATAAAATTAGTTTATTTTAAAAAAAAAAAAAAAAAAAAAAAAAAAAAAACGATCGTTTATAACTTATTTTAAAAACCCCAAAAAAAAAAAAAACCAAAATTTTTTTTTTTGGTTTAGGAGAAAAAGGTTTGTTTTTGGGTGGCAAGGATTTTTTTTTTTTTTTTTTAAAAAAACCCCCCCTTTTTTTAACAAAAAAAATTTGTTTTTTTTTAAAAAAAAAAAAAAAAAAAAAAAAAAAAAAACGATCAGTTATAACTTAATTTAAAATACACAAAAAAAAAAAAAAACGATAATTTTATTTATGTGTTATGAGATAAATGATTGTATTTGTGTTGCAATGAGTTTTCTTTTTTTTTTTTAAAATAAACTCCTCTATTTTTAATCAAAAAAAACAGTTTACATTAAAAAAAAATAATAAAAAAAAATCGCTAAT